TGCAGCTGAAGAGGATCAGATTTCTCCAGTAGAGTTGTCAGATGAAAACCAAAACAAAAGCAAAATACTGTACTGGTCCATATTTGCTGGGACCTCTGTTAATATGAAAAAACAAGAATTCTGGGACTGAGCTAAGCTCTTTTTGCCTGGTTGAGACATATGTATGCATTTGCACAAAGCACTCTGCACAGAGGAGACCATCAGCTATTTATTAAATGGACAAATTAATCAGTTGTAAGCCCACAGCACCATGCCTGGTTTGTCTGCCATTAACAAATGACTCCTTGCTATAAATCTGGACAATGTATTATTCATCCATCCATTCAAGCATCCATCTATCCATCCACTTCTCCATTCACTCATTCAGCAAGTCCCTGTTGTGATTACAGAATTTCACACCAAAGGGCCAGTGTTGGGGCCAGAATCCCAGAAAACGAGGTCAGGAGCATAGGGGAGCAATCCCACCCTAAAACTCTCACAAAATCTGCAAAAGGTGTCCTTGGAGCTTTTCCAGGATGCACAAGGGCTTTCTTTGGGATCCTACGTGGATTTGGCAGGGACCACAGGTTTAGGGGCTTCATATTCAAAGAGATCTCTCAGGCCTGCTGGTTCCTGCTCCTTCCACCGTGTCCTGGGATTCCTCATGGTATCTTCCAACACCACTGCAGAAGACCAAACTAAACTGCACCCCTGCATGCAGGCTGCTGCAGATGTTGGAGATGTAGCAGACATGCTGGCTATGGCCTTTCTTTTCAGGTAAAGGAATGGTCCGCTGGGAACTTTGAAGCAGGCCCAACTTTGCAGATAAAATTGCTCTTCAAAATTGAAGGACCCTGTGTGACAATGCTCAGGTCCATTAATGTGAATTTGAGTGGTATGTGTGTGTGTGTGTGTGTGTGTGTGTGTGTGTGTGTGTGTGTGTGTGCAGGAGGGGGAAAAGGCATATATATTGTATCTTGGTTCATTCTTATTACCAACAGTGGTCTCTTTTCCTTGGGTCAATGGATGGGGCTATAAAGGATTCATCAATCTCCAGAAATTTTGTATAAAATTTGAAAGACAGGCTGCACAGCTTTCACCAGATTCTCAGGAAAACATGAGACCTTAGGGAGAGCAGGAATCATGGCTCCAAAAGGATTTGGGTAGTGACTGAGCAAACTCACTCCCCCAACCGGCTTCCTGATTTCATCTCATAATGCCCCAGGCCTTTGCTGTTGCCAAGAAGCATTGGCTTGCTGCCCAAGAAGACAGGCTCTTATCTGAGTTAGTTCTGCCACCTACAGCACAAAGCCCAGCAAAGCCACTGCGTGGTAACAGCAGAGAGGAAGCCTCATTTGCAACATGAATGAGGGGAGGGCTGCCTCTCCAGCCAGGAACTCTCCACTGGAAGAAAAATGGCTTTGGGGATCTTGATTAGCATCCAGAGATGCAAGCTCCTTTGGGGTGGGTTGCAGTGATGGGAAGATATTTTTATAGTAAAGGGGAAAGGATAAATTTTGAGGATTAGCGCCTGGAAAAAAGTGTTTCCCAAAACCCCAGGGAGGAAAGGCACTGTAAGAAAGAACGAGATAATGAGCTCACGGGTTCTCACATTAAACGTAACTCTCCTATTTTAGAGCATGTTTGACGCTGGTAGCCTTTCTAGGTCCAAACAGGTCTTCTTTGCCATCTAACTTGTTATATAGTACAAATACTTGCTTCAGAAGGATGCGATTTCCTGAGACACTAGAACTGTAAACACAGCGTAGGTTTCTTAATATGCTTAAATCATTTTTAGGGGGGCAGAATGCTCCTTGAAGGCAGAAATTGTGTTATTCTCATCTTTGTGCCTCCAGTACCTAAGCAGAGTGCCTGACATTTAGGAGAAAACTCAATAAATGCTTGATGATTTAAAGCAATAGAAATGTGGTTTGTTTTGCACTCTGTGGTGTGCTTGCTTAAGACTGTTGAACTCTTAAGCATTTAGACATAGTATCTCAAATTCTCACAGCAGTATACAGGATGGGTATTGTTTTGCAGGTGAAACCAAGACCCAGAATTATTAAGTAGCTCACCCAAGGAAAGTTCATGCTTAGAACTCTTGTCTTGCAAGCCCATTCATGTTCTACTCCACCCATGTATGCCATAACCATTGTAAGCTCATTTATAATGAATGGGAAATGAATCAAAAGGAAATAGTTTTAAAACATTTTCTAAATTTTTTTATCATTAAAAAATGTTTCCCAGTCCTTAGAATTTTCCTGAAAGTTTTTCTTACTATCTTTGCTTAATAATAGATGCAGATATCTTCCAACCCTGTCTGAATCTATTCATGATTTTTCTTTGAGTGATAATCCATTCTTAAATCTACTTGTAGAGATGACTGTGGAATATTTCTCTCCATATGATCTCGTGAGCATCAGTGACTGGAGAAGGCAATGAGGTTGTTTGTAACTTGTGCTTACTTTGATTTCCAGCAAAGAATTCTTAAAAGAAGAATATACACATAGAGTCTGCACCATGTTAGAATACGGGATTAATCATACAGTAATCCTGCCTCTTTCACAAGGTTGTCTTTTTTTTTTTTTTTTTTTTTTTTTTTTTTTTTTTTTTT